TCAAGAATACCTACACCAATGTGCTCAAGTTGCATGCCGGCGATGCACTCACCGGTACAGGGATGTATCGATTGTTTGGTGTTCATGCCGATGTCGATATGATGCACGAAGTTTGCTATGATGTCTTCAACATTGGAAATCATGAATTCGATGACGGCGATCATGTGTTGGCAGAGTTCGTGACGCATCTTACGGATATTCAGTGAGTAGAGCAAGACTTATCTGCAAAGGACTATGAGCATGCACACACAAAAACCTAGCTAACCATGTCTTGCCCTTTTTCATACGTAGTTCTCCCTGCCAAAACACTCGAGTCCTGTCTTCCAATTTGGTTCCCGCTTCCACATCTCCGCTCTATCCCATCAAAGAAAAAGGCTATATTGCACCCTTTGTCGTTCGAAACTTCAAGGGAGGGCACAAGGTGGGAATCATTGGAGTCGATATACGCAACAAAACCCTCACAGGATCTTCACCCGATGAAGGAACGACTCTAGTCGATGAACGACAAGCGGTACGACAACAAGTCCGTGCCCTTCAAAACAGAGGCATCAATAAGATTATTCTCGTCAGTCACATGGGGATTGCACGTGATCTCAATTGGGTGACAAGGATTGAAGGAATCGATGTCGTTGTTGGGGGGCATTCTCATACGCTGTTGGCCAAAAATGTTGGCACGGTACTCACGCCACACGACCGATATCCAGTCGTTAGTCAGCAACAAACTTCGAGTGATCCGCTGTGCATTGTGCAGGCTTGGAAGTTTGGACATGGGATTGGACGGCTGAAAGTGGAGTTTGATGCAGCGGGACGTGTCGTCATGTGTGGGGGGAATTACATTATTCCGTTTGAACCTGATCCAGATGCCTCTGTGGAGGATGCAACGACAGTCACGAACTACTTGCACAATATGGGTCCAACCTTCAAACATACAACTCAAGATAAACAGACGCTAGACAAACTGCAGGCCTACCTGGATGCCACAGGAGATGATTTCTTCACACGACTGTTGACTTACGAAGCGGATCCTTTGTGCAACGAAGCAATCCCAGGGGAAGGAGGCAGCGATGTTTGTGGACGACAAGGTGCATTTACCAATCATCATGGTGGCCCTGCATGTAATCTGGTCGCACAAGCCGTGTTGGACCGCACTGTTGAAGCAGATGTAGCCATTCAAAATGCTGGAGGGTGTCGGTCCGACATTCAAGGGGGCAACTTCAGCTATGGTCAAGCCATGGAATTCCTGCCATTTTCAGATACGCTGGTGACTCTGGAAATGGCTGGTTTTCAAATTCACACTGTTTTGGAACAAGCGCTGGAATTGGCGTTTAACGGGGAGTCGTCAGGATCCTATCCGTACGCTTCGGGACTACGGTTCGACGTCAACGCCAGTGAATCATTGGGTTACCGCATCTCCAATCTACAACTCAATGCTCGGCTTCAGGAGGGGACCTGGAATGACCTGGATTGGAGTAGGACATACACAGTCGTCACGAATTCGTTCTTGGCTGCAGGACGGGATGGGTACTTTGAATTCATCAACGCAGAAGGGCGGAGTGACACGAATGTGACCTACTTGGATGCGTTTGTCGATTATATCCAACAGATGGGAGGGATTCATGCACCCAATCCGGAAGACATGTCGACGCAGCATTTTGTGGGGGACGAAGACGCGGCGATTGTGGACGATCCTTTGGACAAATTTCCGATGGACGTAATCCAAGGCGACAGCAACGAGGAAGTGACTGGTCCCACTTGGGTCCATGGCGGGGACGCATCTGCTCATGATAATAGAGACGAACACGTGGAAGACGAAGAAATCATCATGGGCGGATTTTTTGACGGGTCGTTGTCTTCAGAGACGATCATAGATCAAGCAGAGACTAGATCGTCTTCCTCGTCTTGGATTCAAGCAACAACTTGGGGACTCGTACTGGCACAGTGTGGATTGCTGTTGTTGAGACCATACTTGATGGACTAGCAGCTCTACCGGTAGCAGACGTCACCACACCCAAGCACGCCGCCGAAGCTGTTTTATGTACCACAGGACAGAACTATCATAATTTACAATCAACCCGATCCGATTCCAGCTATGTGGATCGGAATGGAATGGAAATGAACAACTGCGCTATGGAAATTGAGGTATAGAGGCATAAATTTAGTTTAGAAACAACCGAGATGTTTATTCGCAACTGAGTGAATGTATCCACGGCAGTTGACATGCGTCTTGTCTCGATACATTGTTGCCCCGTCAAGAGAGTCATTCACATAAATCTCTCCTGGTTCCAGACAGCGACTCGATCCACAAAGATGACTCGACCCACACATATGCATAGATGAAGGCCTGCGCCGATCTCAGAGCCTGATGGGAGGGAGCTGCACACGAACCACACCATGATTCAAGGCCGCGATCATACAATCGTTCGCCCAAGTGTACATGAATCTTTCGCCCTTCTTGCCTTCCTTTCCATATCCAATCATTTTAATGGGGTGCGCGGCTGTGGTCGTCCAGGCGAACTCACGCAAGGCCTGGTATTGCCTGTGGGGGTACACGAGCTCGTTGTGGGTCTTCTTGTGTCCATCAATACCAAACGGAGACAAGAAAGCGTAGATACTGCCGGAGGCGTTGGTCCCCAGGAGGTAGCACGCCAAAAGCGGAGCCCTTAGCAAGACACTTGGGAACCAGGCATCAAACCATTGGTCGATGCTCCTGTCCCACTTGCTGTCCTTGCTGTTCAGCCTTCTGTCGTGCCAGGCGGTGCGGGCCTCCTTGAAGATCACCCTGGTATTGTAAACGAGGCGGAACCTCATGAATGTACGGACCAAGAAGCTCATAATGCTCTTGACAGCCGCAACCACAGGTGCCACACAGGGAATGGCCACCTCCAATCCCACCTCGAGACACTGCTGGAGCAACTTCCCGAGACCTTCAAAGGTCGACTTGAGGATCAAGGCCCGCACCGCTTCCACGGTGTGCGTGGGGTATCCATCGTTGATGTGTTCTGCAATGCCGTTGGTCGCCAGATACCTTTGGGCGCTCACAACAGCCTGCTTGATGTTTTTGAAAACGTCAAAGCCCCCAGACACAAAGCCCTTGACCTCTTCCAACACACCACCGAGCAAAAAATACACCGTCTGCTCAATCTGTCCGACCATTTCGTTAAGGGCATACTCGGCTGCCTTGTCGGCGAACTGCCTCACTAGCTTCGTCAAAAACTTCTGCATCGCCACCACAATTTTCCTTGAGAAGTCTCCCACCTTTTTCCTTCCATTGGCTACTTTGCCAGCCTTGCTGGGGCTGCTCTTGTTGGCAAGCCTCTTCGTCTTGCTATCACCAACGTCATCCACGAGAGTCAAAATGGCATCAGGCACACCGCCACCTTGCCCTATCTGCATGTGGGCAAGGAGGCCGAGTGTATCCTACAGTACAGCACAGCGTGAGAGAAGCGAAGGAGACGCAACCAAGAGGCCGTCACATCACAGTTCGAAGCTTACCCTCTTGAACCTTTGCGACTGAAGCTTCATTTCAGAGTTGGGTCCCTGCTTCTTCGGGGCCCGTTTCTTCATGCCTCTCTTCTTCTTATCTATAGGCGCCATTGTTTCGATTGTTTTGTTTGTGCTATGAAATAGTTTTTGTGAGATCAGGTGTGTTTGTTTGTTTGATTGAGGTTTTTGTTTTTATGAGTGCTGTGCACCTCGACTTTTTAGACGCGCACATCACTTTTTTAGAACCGATCCACGTCTCCGCGTAAACTGGATCATCGGAGATGCTTGAATTTGGGCACATCCAATCGCTATTGCGGGAATACGTGTACATGTTTTCGGTTTCCATTACTTTTCAATTTACTTCTTTTAGAAAAATGACTGAAAATGGAAGATTCGTCTAAGACACCAACTGTAAGGCTACCGTACCGGTACGTAAAATAACGTAGTAGATGTACTAGTACATGTACCAGGTGACGAATCTGGAAGAATGTAGGAATCTGAAAAAATACTGCAATTATGCATGGCTCAAAGTGGAATATTGACCTAAACCAGCAGTTCGCCCAAAAGCAATTTCTCCAAAGCCCAATTCCCCGCAACTGGCACATTCTGGGCACAGATCGGACAAAAATGAGGAAGATGTGTCCGTGATCCGTCCATTCTTGATTGTCCCGCATGAAGTTTTCTCTTTCCCGTTCAAAACTCATCTTCTTTCTCTTCCATTCAAGACTTCATCGTCCCTTCGACCATCTCCGACTTCCAGCATCAGCAAAAACAACTGATTCAATCATTCTGCAAGACAAAAGGAAACCTCCTCTGTTGTTGGGCTTCAAAAAGTCCTTGGAGCATCGATAGGACAGAGATAGCAGAAATCAATGCCTTCGTAATGGAATACGACAGTCGGGTTGAATTGCATTTTGTGCAACGTATGAGACGCGGTTCCCAGTTCCAGTTGGTGGCGTTGAGGATCGTACCATTGGGTAATGATTTTTTCGATTTTGGTGCATGCCAATGATGTAACGTTGCTGCTGAGTTTGCTGGGTGGTGTACCATGGCAACGAGAGGTCATTTGAGCCACGGCGTAAGGAGCCTCCAGTAGTTTGGACAGGTTCTTGTATCCAAAGTGCCATAGCATGGATAGTACGGCTGACAGATCATCTTGGAGACGACGAGACGCCCCAAAATTGGCCTTGGCAATCAACTTTCCGTCCGCAGTTTCCACTTGAAACGTATTCTGATCACGACTGTAGTGGGTATTGGCGAGGATGGCATTGAGGGCAAAGATCTCATTGTTGTATGCCACAACGGTGCTGGTATTGTTGTAGAGTTCGGCAATCATGCAATGGACACGGGGATCCAACGCCATGGCTTTTGAGGTGGCAAAGGGAGTCTCGGGGATCACCACGATGGGGTCATCTTTGGTCGACACCAAGAGCGTGAATTGGAATTCCGTGTGTGGACCTGCATTGGCATCTCCAAACTCCCAAAAGGAAATCATGCCCAAAGCTTTGCCGCTGTCCGTCTCCACGGGTTGATAGTCTTCCTGTTCACAAACTTTCCTGGCTTGTTCCAAATCACAACATCCAATCACTGCCGATGCCCATCCATTGTAGACATGATACGGAACCGTCACACTCTCGCCAGTTGACAGTTGGACATGTGCCTTGTGGAGTGGATATCGTACAAACATTTCATTCAAAGGACGCTTCTTCTTCTTCTTCTCTTGAGCCTGAGTGGACAGCATCGTCCAGCCCACCGCCGCACAACCGAGCGCTGCCGCGGCTGCCAAGGCCACTGCCGTTCAAACTTGTCATCTTGTAGTCCGGATCCTTTGACCCTCGACCTCTTGCCCGTTGCCTGGATCTCGGATCTTGGAAGATCTCGTGGTTCTAGTTTCGAAACCCTAATGAAATGGTTAGGGCGAAAAACTCTAACGGACACCGGGGGGTTAAAAAAACTCCAACCGGAACAGCCTCACCTTGACCATGACAAAGCAAGCGGAACAGAAGCGCGGTTCCAGAAGCGTAGTCAAGTCCATACTGTTCTACAACAAGCAGCGAACGAAGAGGCGAGGAGACACAGAGACAGATTGCTGGTATCAAATCGCAGAGCACCATCCATAGCTAGTGTAGTAGAGAAGTACCGGTAGAGTTAGAAACACCATGTACTTCACAATATTTGAATCACTGAGTGATCCCCACAAACGACGGGGGCCCATCTTTGCCATCTTGTGGTTGGTACGTTCGTTCGAATTGAATTCTGTTTACCTTGTTGATACATGTAGATGATCAGATATCCTCCTCCATTCTATCTAGGTACCTAAATTCACACCATTCTTATTATTTGTTGTATTCTACCATACGTATCAACAGGTCTGGCTCTTCGTGGGAACCATTTTCTTTGCCCTGGCTCCTGGGTCCGACTTGGGATGGGTCAAGGGTTTCTACATGGCAATCAATGTTGGATATTCCATTGGATTTGGATACCCTGCAGAATCGGAAGAATATCCCAATTACCTCTACTTTTCCAGTTTCTATGTCTTGGTGGGGTCCAGGTGCGTTCCAAATAAATTTACACCCTTATACGACCACAATAATAATCACCCATCTTATCTATCTATTTATTGATCTATGTGTTCACCAACAAACAATCTACTATGTACTCGTATCTCAACAACAGTTTTGTGGCAGTCGCCTTGGGTTTCTTTGCGGACAAGATTAGTGAAGATCATGATAATTGGTTCACCAACTTGATCCAGCAAAGAGAATACGAGGAGGCATTCAGTGGGAGTGGAAACTTTGCCAGTAAGGCCAGTGCCATCTTTGATTTCTATGCTCCCACATTACGGGCTGTGGCAGTTTGGCTGATTGCCTTGGGGATCATGATATCCTACAGCATGCTGGAATTTGGATGGTCCTACAATCAGGCACAATATTTTGCCATTGGGACACTCAGTACAGGAGGGTTGTATCGGATTCCGGATGACAGTGCCACTTGGATGTTTGCTGTCACAGCTGTCTTTGCTTGTCTCGGAGTTCCGATAATGGCCGTGGCGATGGCTGAAGTTGCCAGAGGGCTCATGGACAAGGGGGATTTGGAAGCCACCAAAGCGTCTGTCAATGAACCCGTCACAGCAGAAGAATTGATCATGCTACAAAAGTTTGGATTGGAGAGTAAGTTCCGTAGCTGCACTTTGTGATATATTTATTTGCACGATGTTTCTTTGACTGACCCATTCTTCTACTATGGTCAAACACACAAACACACAAACAATACACAATTCACAGACGGCGATGGGGAGATTGATCGAGCAGAATTCATCATTTTGTGCATGGTTCGAATGGGAACTGACCCAAACCTGATAGAATTCATATCACATCGATTCCACCAACTAGATGAGGATGGAGGAGGAACACTTTCCATATTGGAAATTACAGCTGGGAAATATGAATTCATTGATGGGCAAATAAAAGCTGTGATACCAGATGACAGACCCAAGAGCAATATTGTGTAGGCTCATACCATTCATTCCAGTCATCCAAAAGTACCTGTACCATTACAAATACCACCAACATCTTCATGTTAGAAGAAAACAACTACTCTAGACCCCCGTACAACGAAATTTTTTTTTGCTACTATAGGTTAGCTAGCAAAGGCACTGGGTATCTTTCTCCGTCTGCGGTTGACGTATCCATGCACCGTCGTTGGGCGTTTGTAATTCCGGGAATCGCTCGAGGCAGCCTGCCTACGGATATTCCGCCTCTGCTGGACGAGGACTGAACATTGAGCTACCGGTACCCAAGGATTCTGTGTCCAACAGTAGCAACACTGTCCTCACGGAGAAGGAAATAGCCAGAGATGCCCCCCTGCTCTCGAAGCAGATTCTGGGAAGCCCTGGCAATGCCATCGATGTCTTGAACAACCTTCTGGTACGTCACCGTCTTCCGTAGACAACTTCCCTACTCTAGCTCATAGACCCCCTAGTAAACTTGAAATTGACTCGCAAAGATTTGAACTGAGCCCTCCTGGTAGACTCATTTTGCCGCTCCTCACAAGTCGCAGCGTTTATGAGAGTTGGCAAAGACCGACAAGACAACACCAAGAACACAGTGGCGTATGAAGTTGCGTCCTTGCTGGTTGAGTTCTCAATGTCGGGTCCCTTGCAGGCAGCTCGTGAAAACCACAAGCAACTCAAGAGGCACGGAATCGTCCGAAAGAAATGTGTCCTGGGCAACAAAGTCCTCAAAACATTTAGCCTGCATGGTGCAGCATGATGTGGGTGGGCGCTGGTTGTCTCTCGAAGCCGGTGATTCAGTGGAGTCGAGTCTACGGGGGCTTGATTGCTGTTGGCAACGAGCTAGCTATTCATTCATCGATCGGACCATCAATCTTTGGCGCTCTGGGGTAATTTTGGTGTCGAGCCGAGAACATGAATTGGACACCCAAACAATACCAAACCAGGAGACAAGACTACGCAAAGGTGCTGATGAAGACGAGGAATCAGGAGTACGGTATAGGTGTCGAGTCAGAGATTCGATTGAATCATTCATCCATTCTTGATAATGTTGCATGAAGAAGTTTCCTTCAATTGCTTTGGCTGAAAACTCTTCGCTACTGAAATGGTATCCAGCAGCTAGCTAGCTAGAACTACTCTACACCTTGAGATCCAGTGACAGATGCACATGACAACAAAAGCAAGGCAACATATGTATAGTGTATGTATCATGTTTGCTATTTCCAGAACTACGCCGGAACCGGTACCGGTTTTGGATCCAAATCTTCTGTGTCTGACAGCTTTGCTGGGTATTATCATTGACGTCATCAGTGTCAGCCACCGAACAGAATGTTCCGGTGAAGCTTGAAGATCCAATCCGCGCGGGGTGGCCATTTCACTGGTATTGGGGAGCAAGTTGAACCCCAACAGTTAGAAAAATGATCTAACGAGACGGATCAAACGGTTATGCGCATGCAAACATCAATCCGTGAAAGCTTTTGAAGGAAGGTTCTTCGATCCCATAAAATCATTATCTCGCATTATTTTCTCCACCACCACCTTCAGCTCCATTATTCCTTGACTGTGTCGTCTTCAGAAGCTTGCCTGTGGCACCATGGGAAGGCCGATTCGATTCTATCACTATTCTTCACGAGTTTAACACTGTGGGGTGTCCGACCATTTTGATGGCTGTCCAAGCTCCGCAGCGCAGTCAGAAGGAGACAGATACAATGTCGTCGGATTGATTGGATGAGAGAGTGATGGCTCGGCCATTGGGAGGGAATGCTGCTTTTACAGTTTTGTTGGGATGATTGCTCTTTCTCGCTCATTATCTGGTGTTCTCAGTTGAAATGGATGGATACCCCTTAGTCACTAGTTGCCTTGGCCAGGAATGGATTGGCCTTTGAAAGGACTGACTTTAAGTCATGGGGGAGCAAGCCATTTGACGGAACGGGCATTTGACGGAACCCCACGGAGATTTGGCAAGCCGGACTCTATGTATTTAACGAAAGATCGGTGATTCAAATTTATTTTGGAGTGAAAGACATGGAGTGATTGGCAATGTCTTACTTCATTTAAATGCGTTCAATTTTGAACGGGCAATGGCTGGCTGATGGAGTGTTTTGTAGGAATTCAGCATCCTTTTGGTGGTTCTTCTGGAAGGACAACCTACGTGAAATGCAAGGCAACAATCAACCTCGATCTCCTCACTTTTTCAACCAACCAACAATCAGCAAATAGTCTCTTTCAGAGCATTCATTGATAGTTGTTTGACCACCATGGACACTTGTTTTCAGAACCCATCCCCTCAGGCGGGCAATCTTTCTCCATCCGTCCAGTCCTTGCTAGATTACTACATGGCAACTCCCACAACTCCCAATTTTTTATTGAACAACGAAGCCAAGAACATCCTCAACAGACACGGCGATGGAAATCTCATCATGACGGCTGCTACCGATCCAAAGTTTCGGCGGGATCTCGTGGATGGTGCCAAGGGCGGCTCGCAACTCGCGAGTTCCATGGCGTACGAGCTCAAGGCTGCGAACGACCAGGTGCGGGATGCTACAATCAAGCATTCTATGGACACACGCGACAAAATCCTAGCAATGATGAAGGAGCTCGAAGCGGCTGACCGTGCGGTAGAATCGCTTAGATCGAGTGACGAGATCGTCGAGGAAGTGATGAATTGGACGTATCTTTCGCTAAAGCCTTTGAACGAAGTGGAGCCAGAGCATGTGGAGGTATTCTTTGCACAAGCAAAGGCTAACTGGGGGATGGCGATTGTGGACCCACAAACGGTCAAACATTGCTTCTCAGCCCAAGATTTGGGATGTAAGTACACTGACGGAGGGCTCATTCGCACTGTTGCACATTTGTTTGGTTACTTTATCCTTGCCTAACATCACTCCACTGTCTTTTGCAGCATTCTACGAGGTTGTTCAGAATCCGAACGCCCGAAAGGTGCTTTTCATAATTGGACAAGTCCTCCAGCCCTTTGCCAATAGCCACTACGGACAGCTAGTGTACGAAAAGCTACGCAAAAGCCCGCACATTGGGCCTAACCATTCCCTAGACCTGAACATGATTGACGTGAGGTTCACGGAGAAGCAGTTGTTAGACCGAATAGTCCCACTCTTATTTTTGGACACTCTCGATGAAACATGGCAAAGTAAGAAATGTCTTTCTTCCGCAACCTTACCACACCTTGCCTCACCATCCATGCCTGCTTGAACACTGACAGTCTACAAGAAGCCAAGTCACTCCACCACGGCTGGACCCTCTGATGAAAATTCTACGGATGTCCAACAACTCCCCATGCCACCGTTCATTCCACCTACCGACAACCTTCCCAATGGTGGCAGCTTTCGTTCGACGGAAACCTTCCCTTCTTTCTTTACTGCTGCCGCAGGATTCTCTTCGACGGTGTTTTCCAACGGTGGCGGCTTTCCATCGACGGCTTTTGGTTCCAGTACTACCGGAAGCTTCACCTTTGGGGGCGTCACTCACCAAGGAGGGCTCAAGTCTGATTCTTCCACTCGTGACGCTCGGGCTCGCAAACCCAGCTCCAAGAAGCGCAAAATGTAGATCAAAGCTTTTCAACAATTCACTCGAGTCAGCCTCTCTGCCTCAATGTCCCCTGGATCAAGATGTAAACAATAATCATTAGTTGTGTCATCTAGCTAGCTGCAACTATCTACTCTAGGTGTCTTTCTGTTTGCAACAACAAGGAAAGGCAGCCAAAGCTTTCAATACATCCTAGCTAGTCTAGTGTTTGCCCATACTATGATAGTCGTGGCCTTCAATCTGGCCACCGATTCTTGCTTGTCTAGCTAGCTCTCGGTCTACTCCAGCAAGTGATTTGACCAGCAGTCACGCTTCCAATGCTGCCTTCCAAAAGTTCTTTTAGGCAGCCATGTTTCGAAAGACGAGCTCCTGAATGAGTTAGTTGCTTTGCCGGTATCATCTATCGAGTCAACACGCCATCGAGACCATCGAATCATCAGCCAGCAGGCGCACGTAACGTTGGCCGAGGAGCAGGCCAACTGCTTTTGCCTTTGCTTTTTGTGGCGCAGGTTTGCTTTATGGTGCAGTTTAGCTAGACCTTCGTCAGCCAGCCACGACCAACACAGTGGGCTGGTCCATTGACTGGACACTTGGGGACAAAAGTTTCCTCGGTGCCAGAGGTTATAGATTGGAACGCATGGAATCTAGCACAGTGAATGATCTCCAGGCTTTGTTGGACCCAGTGTGCTCGGGCAAAACGGGAAAAGTCGTGGCTGAAGAAGATGGAGATGATGAGGACATTGCCATGGCCCATGTGAGAAAGTTATGCAATAGCAACAGCAGCAGAAGCATTATGGAAGCAGTTGACAGTATTTGGCAGCTCTTGGCATAATGGTTTGTCTGCTTTTCACAATTGACTCTGGTACTTGTCGACTCACTTTTGTCTCGGCTACCGGTATGACCCTCCGTGACGAGATTTGTCAATGCACATGGCGCCGTTACGCGGGACTACGAAGGCATCTCTATCTAGGGCCCAAATCAAGTTGGAAGAGCTCATTGGTGCGTGGCTAATGAATGGACCGTCACAATCCTCGACCAGCGTGTTTCAGTTGCCTGATTTCCTTCTGGACGCTTCACGTTGCTTCTCTTGCCCATGCAGTCCCGCCCTCACGAAAAGACCTAGCCCTGCGTTTGTCTCAAAGCTTCTGATGCACCTTCTTGCCGGCGCAACCTTCGCCAGTAGCTGCTCCTGCTGACTCAACTCGATGTTTCGGAGCTCCCTTTGGCAATGTGCAAGTGTGGTTTCTCCCCCGGAAAACAGCTCTATTCAACAGGAAGGTCTGTTTACGCCCAAACGAAGTGTGTGAGACTGTGTGTGTCAAATTAAACGGTCCTTGCCGGGTCCATAAAGCTTGCCTACGGTAAGTGAAAGAGATCCTCTCTTCTGTCAGACCGCTGTATGTTATATGCAGCTCTGCCATTTTCAATTCGAACCAATGCACCGGCCACTCCCACTTTCCTTGAGTACAGTAAGAACAAACGGGGGGTTGAGCTGCAGCTACCAACTACCAATTCTGGTAGCTAGCAAGACACTATTTGGCCTGGTCACTTCCAAAATTGATGTCTAGCAGCTAGGATGTCGTCTGTAAACGCACAACCTGACACGATGCCGAACGATTGTGCCATTTTGTCGAAGGAATGTGAACATTCTCTGCCTGGCGATGTGGAACACAGTTTGTCTGTCAAAGAGCTCCGAAAATATCTTGAGGCTGGTTCTAAGCTTAGTAACCCAGAGCTTGAAAAAGAACTGGAAGAGATCGCGACGAAACCGTGTAAAGATACTAGTATCACTAATTCTCTGGCGATTAGCTTTGCTTTGGTGTCGCGTGGTAAAGATGAAAAAGACGCCATACGATGGGGAAAACAGTTGTAGCACAAGCCACGTAAACAGGATGGTGGAATATGCGCGTAGCGGTCAGAGCAGGCCGAGAGCAGACATTAAAGCTGCTGTGGATAAGCTCATCGGGAAGGGTAAGGGTGCATACCATGTTGGATTTCTTTATTGCTGTGTTTTTGCATTCTCACTTATTGCCAATACTGCAGGTAATGCGAAGAAAACGAGGAAAGAGGAGTGACTGAAGAAGTTCTGGCGGAACGAGACAAACCAAACAAATCTTCTAAAAGTCCTTAAAGCAGCATCCGCAGCAACCCCCCCCCCCAGCAGAAAGCCTCATCAGACACCGGGGGAAGACTGCCGAAAGCAGCCACCCCCAAGCACTCCCGGGGAGCAAGTGGCTGACGTTGCAAAGGAACCAGGCTCGACGCAGGGCGTCGGTATTTTCGCAGGGTTGAACGCGGAAATGGCGGAATACTTTAGTGGATGGTCTGCACAGTACGAAGGCGTGGCGCTTCA